TTTAGTTTAAGGTCTTATTCAGAGCACATAGATTCTTCCAGCCATTACACAAAGATCTGTCCATGAAGAAGCAGCAAGTGGGAGAAGAAAAGCTGGCTAGAGATATATGCAGCCAGGTAAGAATCCTCTGATTCTTCCACATGACTTGGTAATAAAGTAGTCTTCAAAAAAGCAGCTTCCCATGTTCTGTTCAAATTAGAACCACTGAAACCTGCCTCAAACCAAAAGCTCACCTACTGACTATATCCAAACAGTCTTCATTTCCAGGAATGATCATTGCTTCCATGCCACCCCTCTTTTTTATTTTATTTTGTCGTAGTGAAAGATTGAGAAAAATCTGACAAACCCTTCTTTCCTTGGTCTTGATTGGGACCCACAAACATTCCCCTTGGCAAGTGTGCTAAAGGAAGAATAATACACCCCACTAAGTTGATCCATCTAGATCTGGCCTCTCTTTTTTTTTTTTTCAATTTTTTTTAATTTTTAATTTTTATATATTTTGTGTTTTGGTTCCTTGCTGTAAGCCACTTGAGTATGCATAATAATAACCTAGCAAATTGTTAGATGCACACTATCATGGAGGTCTTTTTCCAGCCAAATTTTAACGGTTTATTTTATATAACTAGTTCAAATTCAACTTAGCTTTCTCCAAGGGCTGTTTGGGAATATCCCACAATATCAAATCACTTTGGTCGTCCTCCAAGTTGAAAATGACAATGACCGAGAATGAAACCTAGCTTCAAAATAATCTATTGGCCATTCAACCTACTTATAGTAAGAAGAAAAAAAAACCTGTTTTTGTTTTTATTTTTCCGAAAAAAAAGAGGTAGAGAAAAAGATGGAAACTGGATCTGAATGGTTGTTGCGGGATCTGTTTGTTGTGTTGTCTTTTGTCTTCTTCTTCTTGTGTTTTTGTGCTTAGGTTTTTTTCAATAAATAAAAGGTGACATGAAATTATCCCATACCTTTCTTCAGTTAGAAGTTAGAACCACAAGAAAGTATCCTTTGTTTTCGGCAATGCGTGAAATTTCTGCCTGCCCTATAGATTCATCTTTTTCTTCATGCCAAATCTAATAGGAAACCTATAATCCCATGATCTCATAGGCTAATGTAGCCAGTCAGGTCAAACAGAATTATCACCATGTCGCTATATGGCACTTTTCAAGGAATTCAAAATTTCAACCTCATTGAGGAGAGAAGCTTATTTATAATAACGCGTGACTTGAGAGACACATCCGTTTCATGTAAATTTTTTTCCAATTGGTATTGAAACAGTTGAAAGAGACAATGAGGAATAGTACATATACCAGGAATAGTGCATATATTCGTTTCATGTAAATTTTTTTCCAATTGGCATTGAAACAGTTGAAAGAGACAATGAGGAATAGTACATATACCTGTTTCATGCAAATTATCCTTGAATTGATATCGAAATAACACGTGAATTTCAATAGGGAGAAAATGAAAATTTGTTATAATTCGAGAAGTGGCAAGACAAATCACGTAGTGGTACAATAAAATGAACCGTTATGAGCAAAAAGAAGGCAAAAATTTGGGAGATTTTAAGATGAAATTTAGGTTTTCGGTCCAATAAGAGTTCATTTGAACCATTAATGTTCATGGCCACATTTTTCCTTTGAATATGAAATCCCAAATTCAAATTTCTCTTTCGAAATGTAGCGAAACACGTTAGAAGGACCCTCTGGGATGGGACTTGGGTTTAAAAGTTATAATGGAAAAGACAACAGTTATTTGTACCTAATTGTATGGAAAAATAGTACACAATAGTCCGGAAATTTCAATTCAATAATCCCATTTTGGCCCAAACCAATTGAGTGGGTCAACCCAATAGCACCATACGGAGTTGCGGAGAACAGAACCAAGATGGAGACAGGTCGAGTTTCCATCTTCATAATGACCACAGTAAAAATACACCATAAAATTTTGCGAGAATCTAAATCATGCGGAAATAAAAAGGAAATTCTTCCATCTGGAAATAAATAACGAGGAATGAGCACTGAAATCCAGCAAAAATAGCTCTTACAAAGAGAAAATCAAATGCAGACGTTTTGCCAGTCATCTGGTATGTAACAGAGAGGAGGAGGGGGTAAAAATTTCACTTCATTCAAAAAAATAATACATTGTTTCCATTTTCAACATTTCAACAGGGATTTTAGCGTTATGTTCGAAGGCCAATATGATAAAGATCAAGAAAACTATAGTCAAACTTGATCTTTTAGAGATCAGTGATCAGCATTGATACCAAATATACGAACCTTGTGCATGTTTGGGAACTTTGCAACTACCAACACAAAAACTGCTAGGGTGTTAAAGATGAGATTTGGATTTTGATAGTCTGTTGTGTGAGAGGCTATCAAGTACCTGCCAAGGAAGGATGACGGGTAAGAAAAAGAGATTGAGGTAAGGAAATTCAGTACTGCGGCAGCACATGTCCACCAAAGAGCTAATTATATTCCGTCAATGTCTTACTGGAAGACTTATACACAAGATCAAAATAAGTCTAACCAGCAAAAATTTGACACGAGTATAACAGCAATGTTGAAGCAAACTCAATGGTTGACCATATAAAGAAGTGCTCACCTAAGGGGCTTAAATTGAAGGACAAGTGAGGGACAATGTATTTAAGGGCAGCATTCAATTAGATGAACTATTGATTTCAGGAGTTGTGTGGAGTCCAGCAATTACATACATTGTCACTCAATTTAAGTCCCTTAGGTGACAACTTCTAGTATAGTTACTTATATTTCACTAGGTAGTATAAGGGATCTATGTATGAGGACCATTGGAAAAATTCTATAATTTATGAGAGCAGAGCTATTCACGCTCCACCTACGCACTCCCCCACTGTTGTGGAGGAGTGAAAATCACAGCTACATGGTTGCTATTTGCATTCCCACAAAGGCTAGGGGATAGAAATATGGGAGTACAAATGATGGTCCCTCTAATGAATGCATTTCATGTTTGCATTCTCAAAATCCAATCTCAATCTGGAAGGCTTATAAAGCAAACTCAAAGTACTTACAGCACAACAGGCACGACAGTCAGAAATTTTCTGTTTCGAGTGAGTTGGTTGCCATTGTCTATCTGCTCCCACCAAGTAAGCGCATTGTAGATACCCTGATCATCTGCAAATGGCGTTCCCTTCTTCCAGTGAAAAAAGTGATAAGTAACCTGAAGGAAAACGTAAAGACAATGAGAAAAAAATGACAACAAGTACTAAAAGTGTCATCAATAAGACTACTAAGACATCTAGTCTACTATATGGGTCATAAAGTGGACAAAGAATATTAGAGAACTGATCAATCTCCAGAAAGACATCAACGTTTTACCTTTCACAAGAAAACACATAACAGGACACTTATTGATGGGTCATAAAGTGGACAAAGAATATTAGAGAACTGATCAATCTCCAGAAAGACATCAGCGTTTTACCTTTCACAAGAAAACACATAACAGGACACTTATTACATAAAATCAGCACCTGCTAAATAGACAGGAGCTGTAATTTCAACTCAACTTAAGGGTCGTTAGAACCACATAAGGCCCTCATCTACCAATACGAAGTGTGGGCTATTTCAATAACCCTGGGAAGCAAACTGTCTATCCCTATTCCTCAACAAAAATCGAATAATCCATTTTCCATAATGATTCGAAAAATTTGCGCTTTAGAATCCACAAATTGATCCTTGCCAAACTAAATCTAACTTTCCTGATATTAAATAACTGAAACTGTGTGTCTAAAATTACATGATTAGTCCACACAATGAAGTCATAAAGTATTTTATATTTATTTCATTCTTCTTCCCTACATATGGAATCCAGTTCTTTTGGAGCTATAAATAATGGTTCTTTATGAGATTACTGCATCTCCGCTACAAAACTCAACATGAAAGTTCATTCTCATCCAGTTCCTTGCAAATTAAGGTGACTAAGAAGTACTATACATGTACTTACTGAAGAATATCCGGAATCAATAAATTCTTTTAACTCTCACCTAATCCATTAGAAATTTGTACATCTTTGATTGTGGTTTGATATTAGAGATGGTGTTATTACCACCCTACTAGAGGATTGAAAATCTTGCTCAGCTTTGTGTGGGATTAAGCAGGATGAGCAGGGACAAAACTACGCAATTTGATCCAAATTTTAAAAAATTTAAAACAGGATTACATATGGTGGTTGATTCTGCTAATGTTTTCACAATATTCATTCATGCTAGTGAGTTTTCCATCATCCACATCAAACCCTAATAATTCAGATTCAAAATTTCCAGCTAACTCGGAAACCTAATCCTCCAAATCAAACAAAAAATTTCCATATCCAGCACAACAATCATATATAACAAGAAACTAAGCAAATTAAGCTTCATCCATAAATAAGCAAATGAAAAAACAAAGACTGAAGAAAATAAGAGAGAGAATACGAGGAAATGGCAGAGGTGAACGATGGTCCAGGCCATGCCAGGCGAGCAAGAGAAGAGGCAGAGGACGACGAGCCACGAGAAGAAGACCGTGAGAATGTAGGTCGTCCAAACCCCAGGGTAGGTGAACCATTCTGTGTTCCGATTCAGATCCGTCGTTCGAACCGCCGTCACATACATTTTCCGAATTCTTTTTTTTTATTTTTTCGAATATTTTTTTTTTGGATGAAACGAAATTGATCAGAGACTATGAGATGAAGATTAAGATCAACGACGATGATGATGGGAGCGACAATGAGGAGGAGGAGAAGCTCATCATCACCAAAGAGAATCTCAGAAACAACCCGATTTTTTATTTTCGCGAAGTTGCCTTGCAGGAGAGATTGAGATTCGGAGATTTTGGGTTGGCGTGTTTTTTATTTTTTTATTAGGAAATTATAAAATTATAAAATCGGAGCGAATGAATATGATTGATGAATATTAACGGTCGGTGATGAAGTTGGTGCGAAAGGGACCCATGGACCC